AAAATTTCAGGATTTGGAGCACGTTGGGTTTTGTCATCTTCTCCCTTGGGGCTCCGGATTTGAGGTAGGGATATCCTACTCCTCTCTATAGATTTTGTCTTTAAATTTTGGTATTTTGAGATGTTGGGGTTGGTTTGGTAATTTGGTGAAAGTTTGGGGCTTTTGTGTTATTTTACAAAAGTTGGGGGTTTTATTCATAATAATTTTTTACTAACACCCTCAAATCCTCACCTTTTGCACACTTAACCAATGATTTTCTCTAAGCTCGTTACCTAGAGATCCTTTTCTTTTATGGTATTGAACTTATGAGGCTTTCCATTTGGTAATAGGCAAAAATATACCCGTACCAATGTCTACCTACTTAGGAGCAACGCTAGAAACCCCCTCAAGGTTGGTGGCTCAATTATGGGGTGCCTGAGTAACCTCATGACCTTCCCTCCAAATCATAGAGGGGAATTGTAGCTTGGAGACTAGAGTTGAAAGTTTGTCAAGGTGCATTGTCATTCCCTCTCTCAAAAGACACTTGCTCCACGAGCATTGAGACTATTTGAGAAACCTCCAGATTGTTAAACCAAGTGGGTTGATCCATATGTCCCTCTGCATAGGGAATTTTGCATTGTTCAGTTAGCCTTCATGGTTGACCTTTCCATGCACAAGTGATCAACTACCTCTTCGTAGAAACTCTCTCTCTTTCTCTCTAAGACCACCTCAGCCTTTAACATCTCCACATTCAGTGGTTTTTTGCCATCTCAGTGCTTGGCATCTTCCCAGAAAGCCCTACTCCAGCCTACTTTCCACAATCACCAATATGTTATATTCAGTTATTGTCTTCCTAGTGATTGCAGAATGTTGCTTTCCTAGTAATATTTTGGATGTTTTCCCTGCCAATGGTTATTGTGTTTACAGTAATTCAGGCACTTCAAAGCCTACCACATACACATGTTTCCTTATAATTTGCTTCCTTGGATGATTTATGTGAATGTTTCAGTGTGTATTTTTATTTTTTTCGTATTTTTTTTAGTCATTGTTCATGGTTGGTTTAGTGTATTTCTACTGGGCTGTGGCTCACCCTATATGGGAATATCATTTTTAGGTACAAGTAGCATGTCACCTCCAAGGTCATAGCTTGGGAGGCTAGAGGCGGGCAGATTTTTGTTTTTTAAGTTCCTTTTGATGTATTACATGTAAATTCAAGCCAAGGGCTTAATGTGTAAATGAGTTAGTACTCTTTTGTTGTAACCAAGTGTTAACTTGGAAAGCTGTAAGCCCATAGGGCATTTGCTTTTATTGTTAACATGTAATACTTATGTAATGGAATTCTGATAAATGGAAGAATGTGGAACTTTTACATATCAATGCATGTCTTATTTGATGGGTTTAATGTTATTATTTTGAGGGCGTTACAACTTGGTATCAGAGCGTACCGGGTTCGAATACTTTGGGTACGTGGGAAGTGATTAGTATCACAATGGGTTTGTCTCGCTTGGTAGAGACTTAGATGTAGTGTCGCATGCTATGTGTTTGAATTGATAACATGCTTACGTGTTTATGTGGGTATGGGATTTAATTTCTAGGATGTTGATTGGACCCTTGGATTTCGGGGAGTCTTGTTGGAAAAGCACTTGATCAATGCTGTTTCTAACCGGAACTCTAGTAACGCCTCGGGACTATCATTATCTGGAAATGAAATTCGTAAGTGCTTATGTGTTTATGTGCTTACGTGGAGTAAATTACTGTTGTACGTGCATTAGGACGTGAGTGTTTAGTTTTGGCACATTGTGAATGTGCTAACGTTCTGTATTACCTTTATTAGGATGTCAGGACGAGGAAGAGGTGCTAGGTGTGGTAGGCCTGCGAGGCAGGAAGCACCTTTACCGGATGATATTCCGGCAGTGCAGGAGGGTGTTGGTCAGGCCAACATGGCCGAGCCAGCGGGCCAGCAGGCTATGAGTGCCTTGGCACAAGAGATAGCAGGGGCTTTGGGTATTCTCAGGGCTGGGAATCAGGTAGCTAAGGCAGGGCCTTCCTTCTTAAAGAGGGAGTTCTTCCGGTCTAACCCGGACGAGTTTGTTGGGGATCCAAAGGAGCCATTGAAAGCTGACGAATGGTTGGAACAAATGAGTAAGACGTTCGAGATGCTTGGCATCGAGGACGGGGCACTGAAAGTGACCTTGGCATCCTTCCAGCTGAAGGGAGATGCGGGTCAATGGTGGAAGTGCGAAAAGGCTCGTGTTGGTGGTACATGGGAGGCGTTTGTAAATGCTTTCCAGGAGAGGTTCTTGTCTGCAGTGGCTAGGGAGAAGCTGAGGGATCAGTTTAGTCGGCTTAATCAGCAGGGTATATCTGTGGCAGAGTTCGAGGCCACTTTCACTAGTTTGTCCAGGTTTCCACCAGAGTTGGTGGCATCCGAAGAACGTCGTTGCTATGAGTTTGAGCGGAAGCTGAGGCGGGGCCTCAAGCTGAGAGTTGGTGGGTCTTACATCCGAGAGTATAGACATTAAGTGGATGCTGCAGCTTATATGGAGCTCATGATATAGGAGGAGGATGAGGGGCAGAGAGGCTCCAAGAGGAGCCAAGATGGTCAGGGTGATGGCAGGAGACAGAGGGGTCTTAATCCTCAGCAGTCTCAGGGTGGAGTTGCTAGATCGACCTTCCCAGTGTCGAGTGCAGGCTCCGGGAGAGGTGGTCAGGGGGATTTTACCTGTTACAGGTGTGGCCAGCTGGGTCACAAGGTTTCTGTTTGCCCGCAGAAGGGTGGGGGTCAGAAAGTTGCTTCTTCTTCAGCTAGACCGCAGAGTCAAAGTTTGGGCAGGGGGCAGTTCTTGACTTGTTATCAGTGTGGACAACCTGGGCACATGAAGAGGTTTTGCCCACAGTTGAGTGCTACTTCGGGAGCGTCTGGTTCTAGACAGACGCAGGGTTTTTAGCCAGCTCAGTCTGTGCAGGCCTCGAGGGCCAATCCGGGGGCTTCGTCGTCCCAGTCAATGCAGCAGTCGTATGCTTCTAGAGGTGAGCAGGTAGATCAGGGGCCTACAGGGCGCGTGTATGCTGTTACCGCGCAGGATTTAGTACCGGCTCCATCAGTCGTGAGAGGTACTTTTCTGTTTTGCAACTCGGTTGCTAATGTGTTGATAGACACAGGTGCATATCATTCTTTTGTATATGCTGCATTTGCATCTGTTTTGGAATTGGAGTTAGCACAGTTAGCATCTCCTATTTGTGTGGTATCGCCTTTGGGTGGTGAGTTGATTCTGAAACAGGGTGTTAGAGGATGTGATATAGAGGTCGCCGACTATAGGCTTCCTTTTCCGTTTGTTGTCATGCCCATGAAGGGCTTTGATGTTATTTTGGGTATGGACTGGCTATCGTCATACCGGGCTGTTATTGATTGCTACCGCCAGAGGGTCACGTTATGTACCTTGAGCGGGGAGTGGTTCCATTTCTTGGGGGACCGGGTTGGTTGTGTTTTACCACCGGAGTATGATTCGCGAGGGCGAAGTGAGCTTAGTGGTCTGCTTGCTAGCTTTGAGAGTGGTGAGTGTGGTGAGACCCAACTTGTATTGCCGAGGGTGGTTCGTGAGTATTCGGATGTCTTTCCCGAAGACCTTGTTAGTTTGCCACCTCACCGAGAGGTAGAGTTCTCTATTGATTTAGTGCCCGACACGGCACCGATTTCTATGGCACCTTACCGTTTTGCTCTAGCAGAGTTGGTTGAGTTGAAAGTTCAGCTCTAGGAATTGTTAGATAAGGGTTTTGTTCGCTCTCGTGTTTCACCGTGGGGAGCACCGGCCCTCTTTGCTAAAAAGAAAGATGGTGCCTTGAGATTGTGTATAGACTACCGGAAGTTGAATCGGGCTACGGTCAAGAATAAGTACCCTATGCCCCGTATAGATGATTTGTTTGACCAGTTGAAGGGTTCCCGTTGTTTCTCTAAGATAGACTTGAGATCGGGTTACCACCAGTTGAGGGTCAGGGAGGAGGATATTCCTAAGACGGCATTCCGTACACGGTATGGCCATCATGAGTTTTTGGTGATGCCATTCGGACTTACCAATGCACCGGCAGTCTTAAGATGAGGTTTGGGAAGAGTGGGAAATTATCCCCTCGGTTTATTGGTCCCATTATGAGTTTCTGGTGATGCCATTCGGGCTTACCAATGCACCAGCAGTCTTTATGGACTTGATGAACCGGATCTTCCGGGAATTTTTGGATCGATTTGTAGTCGTTTTCGTGGCTGACATCCTGATTTACTTGCCTTCAGAGGAGGAGCACGAGGAACACTTGAGAGTGGTGCTTGAGTTGCTTAGAGCCCATAGGCTGTATGCCAAGTTTGGGAAGTGTGAGTTCTGGCTGAGGGAAGTCAAATTCTTAGGCCACATGGTATCCGGGAAAGGGGTGTCCGTTGATGCATCCAAGGTTGAGGCAGTGCAAGATTGGGCACAGCCTAAGAGTGTGTTTGAGATCCGCAGTTTTCTGGGATTAGCTGGGTATTACCGTCGGTTTGTGAAAGATTTCTCCAAGTTAGCATCACCGTTGACTAGACTGACTCGGAAGGGAGTCAAGTTTGTGTGGAGTGAGACTTGCAAAAAGTCGTTCCAAGAGTTGAAAATTAGATTGACCACCGCTCCGATTTTGATTATTCTAGAAAGAGGGTTGGGTTATGCGGTCTAAATATATGGCCATCCCCATTTCTCCTTCACACCAAAAGTTTGCGCCAACCAATGATTGTTGTGTGCATCATACCTATGAAGCATTTGGTCCCATTGTATTTTGAATTCTTCTTCATCATCAATTTGATGCATAAATTTTGAAAAGACACCCTTTACCCCAACATCTTGAAAGAGGGAACTCACATGCTTCACAGCATTTTGCATCAAATGCCATGTACAAAGTCGGTGGTTTGTACTAGGCATGACAATTGGAATGGCCTTAGCCATCACAACATCTTGATCTGTGAAAATAGTTTTTGGAGCTTTATTTGACATTGCCTCCAAAAAAATCTAAAACAACCATGTGAATGATTTGGCAGTCTCATCATACATCAATGCTGCACCGAATAGAACAGTTTCTCGATGATGATTAAATCCAACAAAGGTTCCAAAAGGTCTATGTTCATTATTTAATTTGTAAGTAGTGTCAAAGGTCACTACATCACCAAATTGAGCATAGTCCATTATCATTTGTGCATCCGCCCAAAATATGTTACTTATTTGCTCTTCACAATCTAATTGGACTACATAATAAAAGGATGGATTTTCTAAACTTTTCTTACGAAAGTATTGCAACACACTACCCGCTTCTCCATATTCCAAATCTTTTTGTCTCTTCGATCTCAAGTAATTTTTTTGGTCCAATTTGGTGAAGCCAAGTGATGCTCTTCTACCAGATTTCCTACCAAATAGCTCATAAGCAGACCTAAGAGGAATTCCTGATTCTGCAGCCAATTCTACTTCAATTGCTTGGGTGGTAGATATTTTTCTTTGGGATGGCAACATATGAATGCACTCTTGAGGCACGAGATCATGATTATGATGTTCAACAAAATCAATGGCAACATATTTTCCTAAATTTCTATCTAACTTGATACTAAATCGAGCACGACAACCACATCTCACCTCTTGTCTCGGAAATTTTACTAGTGGATCTCGCTTGTCAATACCTTGAGTTCCCTCTTTGTAACATACAAAAGTCCGTGAAGTTATTTCCTTAGTATGTTTGTTCTTGTGTACATATAGCTTCTTAATACTAAAGCCCACCTTTCCGCCATAGGTATTATAAAAATCATATGCAGCTTGTTCAGAGTCAAATGACATGCCCAATTTTGGCTTCCAACCACAATTAGCCAACTCAATAACAACATTATTTTCTTCGATTACCTGCAATTCGATTTATAGGTTATGGGGAGTGGTTTATTAAGGTAGTTTTATTTTATAATTTTGTAAATCTCTTTGAAATGATGGACCAGATCATAGTTATAAATGATATCTTTTATATATAACTATCATAGGTATAAATGATATTGAAAAATCAATCATAGTTACTAATCACTCTTCTTTATAATTACTAATTTCTGAATTCACAAAATCCTTAATTATATATAAATCCTTAATTATATATAAAAATTAATATAGAGAAATGTATAGAGAAAAATTAATTATTTTATAATTTTGTAAATCTCTTTGAAATGATGGACCAGATCATAGTTATAAATGATATCTTTTATATATAACTATCATAGTTATAAATGACATTGAAAAATCAATCATAGTTACTAATCACTCTTCTTTATAATTACTAATTTCTGAATTCACAAAATCCTTAATTATATATAAAAATTAATATAGAGAAATGTATAGAGAAAAATTAATTATTTTATAATTTTGTAAATCTCTTTGAAATGATGGACCAGATCATAGTTATAAATGATATCTTTTATATATAACTATCATAGTTACAAATGATATTGAAAAATCAATCATAGTTACTAATCACTCTTCTTTATAATTACTAATTTCTGAATTCACAAAATCCTTAATTATATATAAAAATTAATATAGAGAAATGTATAGAGAAAAATTAATTATTTTATAATTTTGTAAATCTCTCTGAAATGATGGACCAGATCATAGTTATAAATGATATCTTTTATATATAACTATCATAGTTACAAATGATATTGAAAAATCAATCATAGTTACTAATCACTCTTCTTTATAATTACTAATTTCTGAATTCACAAAATCCTTAATTATATATAAAAATTAATATAGAGAAATGTATAGAGAAAAATTAATTATTTTATAATTTTGTAAATCTCTCTGAAATGATGGACCAGATCATAGTTATAAATGATATCTTTTATATATAACTATCATAGTTACAAATGATATTGAAAAATCAATCATAGTTACTAATCACTCTTCTTTATAATTACTAATTTCTGAATTCACAAAATCCTTAATTATATATAAAAATTAATATAGAGAAATGTATAGAGAAAAATTAATTATTTTATAATTTTGTAAATCTCTCTGAAATGATGGACCAGATCATAGTTATAAATGATATCTTTTATATATAACTATCATAGTTACAAATGATATTGAAAAATCAATCATAGTTACTAATCACTCTTCTTTATAATTACTAATTTCTGAATTCACAAAATCCTTAATTATATATAAAAATTAAGTTGTAACCCATCAATTATTTCCCAACTTTATTAATTTTTCTATCTGGGTTGCAGAAAAATTAATATTTTATTATCTATTATTCACATATTAAAACAACAAAAATTATATAGAGATGGGCAAACAAAAATTATATTCGGATACCTCGTCACAGCCAAACAAAATACATACAAATACAGAGATTCAAATATACACTGAAATATCATTGAAATATAGAGACTGACATATTTGTAATGTATACATTGATTATCCATACAAAATGTAAATACACAGACTGAAATATACATATATACATAACACAGAGACTGAAATTTACCTCGTCACAGCCGGACTCACGTCCATCCGCCATCGTCGCGTCACAGCCGGACTCGCGTCCCTCCGCCATCATCGCGTCACAGCCGGACTTGCGTCCATCCGCCAACCTCTCTCCATTACCGTCGCCTCCGTCCACCATCGTTCTCTCCGTTCTCCAGCACCTCTCTTCTCTCTCTCTCTCTCTCTCTATCCAACTGCGTGGTTTGTTAGGGCAAAACAGAGGAGATAGGGACGAAGATGAAGTCAAAAACGATCAGGTGGGAAATTCGAACTTTTCGGAACCAAAAAAAAAAAAAAAAACTAAACAAAACGACGTCGTTTTTTCACTACAAAACAACGTCGTTTTGTAGCGCTGTTGGGAGTGCGGCTGGAAAGAGCGGCCGAAGATCTGAACTCTATGATTGACACGTTCTATTTATTTATTTATTTTATTTTTATTTTTTATTTTTTTATAGAACAGTTTTTCAACGAATGATTCTCAATATAAAAATTACACCTTAATTGCTGGATAAGCTATTTTATTACTCTAAAAAAATATTAACAATTTGAATGAATGATAATCACATAATTATGAGCTCCACACACAGTATGAAATGCACGGTTGTGTGATTGTTTGTGATTTATTACTTTACGAATTACATTTTGGATTGTATTTCCTTCGTGTTCACATTGTAACACGAAGGGAGCTAAAAGGGTTCCGAAAGTTTATTATTAAGTCAAGTTTGGCACCTCCATAAAAAGTTTAAAAATTATTTAAAAAGTTAAAAAGTTATCATTATTTATCAAAAAAAATATTAAAAAATTAATTTTCTATACATCTATATAACTCAGCAATCATGACAAAATTGGCGCGCGTTTGTTAAGAATAATTGCACAGTTTTGGTGTAATTTTTACACACTGCTGTTCAGCCCGTGGGGGCCATCACGGGTCCCGTTTTGATAATTTGAACCGTTCAATGTGTAGAACCCGTCGAGTAATATACGTTTGTAAAAAACCACGTTGATCGGATATCGTTAACTATATGATTAAATCAGTTTTGTATAAACAAAACAAATGATGTGATGGTTAACTGTTGGAAAAAACTAATCCGATCATATAGCTATCAATATCCGATCAATGTGATTTTTTTATAGACATATAATAATCGACAAATTGTACATATTCAACGGTTCAGATTATTAAAATGAGACCCATTGTGGCCACCATGGACCGACCATCACTGTCCAAAAGTTATTTGCCCCGAAGGAGTAGATTATTTTCCTGTGTAGACATGCTGGGGCAGCCGCAAGCAGCTGTACAATCAATCACGTTTCTTCCACTACACACTTTATTTATACATTTTTTTATTACACATTTTTTTATAAAAAGACAAAAAATTAACCCAAACATCCATCTTTTTTTCCTCAACTTTTTAGTTCAAAAAGACAAAAAATGCACTTATTTAGGACACTTCAAGCAACCCTTTAGTCTCGTTTTGATTATTTGAATTGTCTATTTAAAAAAAAAAAAATCAATTTATTTCAAATATAGAAAAAACTAATTTGATTTGATAATCATAACCATTAATTTTTTATTTTATCGTATTTGTATATAAAAAATTAGATGGTTTATTATAAAAAAATATATATATTTGTCATTCATTTTTTGAAAACAAATGTGATAAAATAAAAATGTTACATTATTAGATTAAACTATTTTTTTTCAGAAATAATATAAATTGATAACCATACAAAATGAACGATTGATATTATCAAAACGGGACTCGTGATAACTTCCACGACCCCTCGCGTTACAAAAAACCTTCAGCTTTGGCTACTCAAATTGTTTTTGTCGCTAAAACCCATGTAATCAGCAACTAATCTGATTTTTAGTTGCCAATAAGTACACATTTGGCTACTAAACTGTTTTAGACTTTTGGCTACTAATTCAATTTTAGTCGCCAATTGTCCTACTTTCAGGGACGAAATTTACATTTTTGGTCGCCAAAACTGCTTTTTGTTGTAGTGTACATAAGTAAAATTAATTTGAACCATTAATTCTTATTTCTGAGTAAATTCTAAATTTATAATCTTGTTGATTTTTATGTTAGTAACACTCTTGTTCTTCGAATATTATTTTTGTTGAACAATTTTCACTGTATTTGAATAATTAAAAAGAGGAGAGAGACCGTTTGATTACAAAAATCAAAACAGTATAAAAGATAAAATAAAACAAAATAAAACAGATTTGACTTTCATTAAGGCCCAATTAATTATATTTAAATTTATCATTTTGAATCAAATTTTTAATCAGACTCTTAGAAGGCTCCAAATATTAAATCAAACTTATTTTCATACTCAATTTTGGTTTCTTAAATCATTAAGGCTTTCAATTTCAGATTAAATTTCAAAATCTTCGTCAATAAATTACATATTGAATACCTCATAAATAAATTATAAACAACTCGTTTTTTTCTTTTTCTTTTTTTTTTCTTTTTTTTAATGTTTTTAGATAGGATTGTTCTAACAATTATAAACAACTCTAAAAGTCTATTTCTAGTTGTAGCCCTCCAAAAATATGTGAACTTTGAAAATATTTGACAATGTCTATGAACACAAAATAATGTGTACCGATAATATTTCCAATTTTCTCAATTTCGTAATGCTTATAAAATTTGGAAAGCATTCTATTTCCTTGGTTTTTAGAATTTATTTTTTGAATATTTTTGGAAAAAAATAATAATAACTCAAAAACACTCATCATTTCATATGCTTTTACTTTTTGATGTTTAAAATATTCTTTTTAGTGTTTATTTTTGTCAAATTAGTTTCTCGATTTTCAACCAGAAAAAAAAAAATAAATTGATTCTAAAATTGAAACAAAATATAATTTTGTTTTCCATGATGGTTGAGAGTTTTGCAAATTATTATTTGTTTTTTTTGCATTGCATTTTTTACAGGGTAGTTGTGTATTAGATTAGAAAGTGATAGTCTTTTTTGAGAAGTTTTTTTAAATTTTCTTCTTTTATATCCAAGCCAAGTATTTGAATTTTTTGTGTTAATATTTTAAATTAACATTATATTGTTAATGTGGATTAAGAATGATTAATTATGTTTAAGGGCCCATTAAATTGTATAATTACAGAGATTTGAATTTTGAAAAAAAAAAAATCATAGTTTTTAAAACTTCCACCAATTCTGACATGGCTCATTTTTCCTCTCTTTTATGTCGCGATTACCATTTCTCTTTGGATCATGCCATAAATGAGGTAAAATTAACTTCAATTATTTTGCTAAGTGTTTGGATATATATAGATGACTAGGAATATACAAAGATTGTCTTGACGAAAATTAATCTCTTGATTGAATCTTTCTTTGACCTAATTTTGCAACCCTTTGCTTTTCTTTTTTTTTTTCTCTCTCTAGGACTCCATGGTCGAGTTTAGAGAGCCTATGAAATGGGATTATGAGATGAGATTATAAGTATGATGATATTAAATTGGACATTTCATAAGGTGAGAAGCTAAATAATCTTTCAATCCCAACCCTCCATTCTCAAGAGATTCATAATATGCTATTTTTATTAATCCAATCTCTCTCCCTCCGTGTTTTCGAGTTGTTCGTGGTGAACTTTATTGAGTCTTTTTTCTTTTCTTTTTTTTTTGGAACAAGTACTTATTTTTTGAGCTTGCTTGAAGCTTTCTGCCACTAGTTTTTCCATTTTTTTTCATTTCTAGAGTGATCGTCGTCTATTTCATTTTTAGATCGGTTGATATATATTTTTTTCATATTATTTGTTTGTTTTACAATATTTATACATGTTGTAGGATTAATTGGTTGATATATATTTATTTTTTTATGATGTTAGTGTTGGAACAATCTTATATGTAAAATAAATAATGTGAAATAAATCAAACAAATGAAAATAAATTATTTACAGAATTTATTTACCGAAACGAAAAAGTATAAAAATAATCAAGTCGAGTGTGTGACACTTTGGGCTTAAGATAGATTCGCCCCGTTCCGGTGCTTATGAATAAATGGCGTCTATCTCCCAAGATACAATGATATACACAGATTGTAGTAGCACTCCAAACAATCTGTACGGCGAACCAGAACCTATATTCAATACTCTCAGAAATTTCTCTAAAAACTAGAATAAAGAACAATGCAAACAGAGAGCAAAAAGGGTAAGAGAATTTATTTTTTCTAGATGTGAAAATCTGTTGGAAAAGTCTCCTATTTATAGGAAAGTTGGTGACCATTTGGCATATTCGAACAGGTTCAAGTTTGAATTGAACAAGTCTGATCAAGGACCGAACATATGCAATTCAATCTGAACAGATAAAGACTTCAAACTGAATAGGTGTAGGTTTATTTTTTCAAATCTGTTTGATCTGCTAGAAAATGCGGAAGAAAATTTCAGACCAAAAGATGTTTGGACAGAAAATTTGAATTCAAATTTGGCGCAAAAAGTTGAATTAATTTTGTTCAGAAATTTAAATAATTTTCCCGCAACAATTTGAAAAAATTCAAATAAATTTTGTCCAAAAAATTAATATTATAACCAACCTGATCCACACCCGCGCCCGACACGACTGTGTCGGCCGGTCGAATGGAAAGCGATGGCAGCGCACACGTACGTGTAATGGTTTAAGCCTAAGCCTACTTTGTCCATAACTCCTCCCTTCTATAAACTTGGGTGCCCTTTGGGCCCAACTCAAGTTTGTCTACCTAGAGCTTATAAACACATACAAACTCTCTTAAAGTTTCAATGTGAGACAGACATTTCAAGGAAATCCACATTTTACTCTTTAATTGTCTATTCCATGAACCCGAAAAAAAATAACTTCTCATTCACTCATAAATGGTTTTGATGAACCGTTTGTACCATGTGACTTCTCATGTGGTAAGGAACACATCACCTCTTTGGGCCCACCCCAGAAGACGTGTGGGCTCCACTCAAATTTGGGTTCAAAGTTGACCCAAAATAAGCCCATAAAAAATCATAATCCAACAATTCCCCACATAAATGGAATTTGACGAATAGAAAATGTAACAACATGATCTAATTATAGAGAGTACAAAAATCGGTGATATTCTGAAAAGGATAGGTATCTTTTGACTTTGAACCTTCCCTTGTGAGATACTATCGGATTT